CTTCTACAGTAAGGAATCAGAGATCTTGGAATATGATATTCCAGAGGTCAAAGGAGCTAGGATTTAAACCAAAAATCACCTACTCAGCAAACTTGAGTGTAATCAATGAGGGGAAAATTTGATATTCAATGATGTAGAGGAATTTAATGCATTCTTGAAGGGAAAAAAAAACAGGGCTAAATAGAAAAATTGACTTTCAAATACAAAACTCAACAGAAGCATGAAAAGGTAAACAGGAAAGAGAAATCATAAAGGACTTATTAAAATTGAACTATTAACATTCCTACATGGAAAGATGATATTTGCAACTCATAAGACCTTTCTCATTGTTACAATAATTGGAGAGAATATATATAGACAGAGGGTACAGGGTAAGTTTAATATGTAGGGATGCTATCTAAAAATTAAAATTAAGGGGCAAGATAGGAATGTACTGGAAGAAGGAGAAAGGGAAAGGTAGAATGGGGTAAATTAATTCACATAAATGAAGCAAGAAAAAACATTTACAGGGGAGGTGAAGAGGGTGGAGGTGAGAGGGATTGAATGAACCTTACTCTCATCAGATTTGACTTAAGGAGGGAATAACATACACACTCAATTGGGTATGGAAATCTATCTTACCCTACAGGAAAGTAGGGGGAAAGGGATAAAGCAGGGTGGTGATAGAAGGGAGGGAAGATTGGAGAAGGAGGTAATCAGAAGCAAACACTTTTGTGGAGGAACAGGGTCAAAGGAGAGAATAGAATAAATGGGGGATGGGATAGAATGGAGGGAAATATAGTCAGTATTGCACAACATGACTATTATCATGTAAGTGTTTTGCATGACTGCACATGCATAACCGATGTCAAATTGCTTACCTTCTCAATGAGGTAGGTGAGAAGGAGGAAGGGAGAGAATTTGAAACTCAAAGTTTTTAAAAATGAATGTTAAAAATTGTTTTTACATGTGACTGAGAAATAAGATATACAGGCAATGAGGTATAGAAATCTATCTTACCCTATAGCAAAATAGAAGGGAAGGGGTAAGAGAAGGGGGCTGATATAAGGGAGGGCAGATTGGGGAAGGGGTAATTAGAATATAGGCCATCTTGGGGTGGGGGAGAGATGGGGAGAAAATTTGGAATACAAAATCTTGTGGAAGTAAATGTTGAAAGCTAAAAATAAATAAATAAATTGTGTGTGTGTGTGTGTGTGTGTGTGTGTGTGTGTGTGTGTGTAAAATTTGTTGTGCTGGCGGTAAAAATAAAAATGAAGGTTTTTACATTTCGTATGCCCTGTTTTTTGAAACTTCAGATACAAAAATTCTTCCTTAATAATGATTACTTTGTATTAAAATATAAAATACACCAAAATTATAATATAAGAAAAAATTAAGTGGAGGTTTATTTTTTTCTTTTTCTTTTTGTTGTTTTGTTTTTGGTCAGGCAGTGGGATTAAGTGACTTGCCAGGGTCACACACCATCCTACCATATGATGAACTAACATACATGTATAATTTAGTGGCAACCATCAATTTGCCCCTTCTTTAGACAACATTTTAAAATTTAAGCTCATTATGGTTACAGTCATAATATCATTAATGATGGTGGCATTTAAAAAACAAATTTGAAGAAACAGTAGCTTATTTTGTGAATGATTAAGAATTCAGTTAAAGCACCCAGAATTACTAAGCAAACCAATGTGAGACAGATTAGAAATTCTAAGAAGCGTAGAGGATATAAAAAGTAAACTGCTCATAGCACAGAGAATATTAGTATTAATAGTAGTACTACTATTATCCATATTTAAAGATTAACATTCTCAAGATGCAATGCAATATGTTTTTATGTGGTAAATCTGAAATGCACTTGAGATGTAAAAATAAAATCCTTAAATTCAGCAATGAATTTATTTTCAGGTTAGAAAACCAGACTATTACTGACAATGTTGTCCACACTACAAGCTTTCAACAACTCCTAGCAAAACATTAGTGATTACATCGCATTTGTCTTCCAAAATATTATTATTGTCACAATGCATAAAGTTTCTTGCTCATATGTCTTTATTTCACATGTTAGTGCACATTTATGTTATTATTAAATTTATCATCCAGGACAGTGTATTCAGTCAATAGTATATGTTGTACTTTGAAGTGACTCATGACAGTTAACAATGAGCAATAAATCTATGGTCACTTAAATGATTCAATTAAAATGTGGAGCAAGCAGAAGTTCTACTGCTGAACACATTGGTCGAATATGGAACATTTCCCAAGACTCTTCATCATACAGGAATCATGCTATCAAATTCCAGAAATACTCTATTTAATCCAGTACAATTGGCTGGTGTTCCTGTATCTCACACAACATAGCCCACCCAACTAAGGCATATTCACTTGGTTTTGCAAGTCAATCGTGATTATTTTGTCTTATTCTGCCTATTTCATTTTTATCTTAATAATTTTCTGTGTTTATAAGTGACGTCTTCCAAACCATCAGACCCCTTGTGGCCTGAGGCTCCTCGGCAAGGGTCCCTGATTGTCCTGATCTAAAGACAGTACTGCCACTAAGGAAGTGGGGGTAAAAGGAACGATTCTAATTGTCAACTATCAGGATGAAATCAACACCTCATCTAAAATGTCCAAGCCACGGCATTACCTCCAACTTGTACTTTTAATTGACTATACAACCCACTCTAGGACAGAGTAATCAATAAAGCAGAAAAGGTAGCCACATGTCACAGCAATCTGTATGAAAATGATTGGCTAAAAATAAAAAAAAAAATCTATTTTTATGGGACAATACCCCAAAGCAGGTTAGTAGAATACCAGTAAAACAAAAATCTTGTCTTCAAAGGAACGGTTTTCAGAAGAGGTATCTGAAGATAACACCAAACAAGTAAGGAACCATTGAAAAAAAAAAGAAAGAAAGAAAGCAAATTGGTCCACTCTAAAACTCTTGAGGGTAGTGTCTGACTGATCAAATGTAACTCATTCTGTATGAGGCATGGAAATGACCACTCATCAGAGAGCAGACTTTTCAGTACTGGCCACATTCAGGGACAGCAATGCTGTCAGCAAGGTCATCTTTGAATACCAAGGACAACATTACGCACACACTCTGTTTCAAAGAATGTGACATCATAAACCAATAATCCTAGAAAGGGTCATGTCAAAAATAAATCATAGGGTGAACATCTCTTAGTGTGTTTTCTTTCGGTGAAAGCATAACCACCTCTATGCATTCCTCTTACAGTCCAGCCAGCTATATCTTTTGAATCTTTGCACAATGGTCAGAAATCTCTGGCTTTGCCTCTGTGCTAACATACTGGTGGGGATAGCATCTGGGACTAAAAGGCAGGCTTGTTTGACTGGAGAGATGAGAACAAGGGAGAGATTAGAGGAAAATGAGAAAGATAATGGGACAGGCTGCAAGAGAGCCTTGAAAGCACATGGGGGAAAAAACAGAATTTGGTTAGGATGTGATGGGAGTCCAGTGAAGAAGGGTTTTTTTTTCTTTTAAGAGAAATGTGTGGTCAAAATGGTGGGTAAAAAAAAGATAACTGTAATGGTGACATTTTATACTGATTAGAGAGGAGATGGCCTGGAAGCTGGGAAGCCAGTGAAGAGAAGGTTAGGGGAATCTAGTAATGAGATGACCAAGGTCAGAGATCTGGCTGTAGGAATGTGAGGAAAAGAGACTGAGAGAGATGACCCAGCTGCGATTGACAGGTAGGTAGTCTAAATGTAGAGGGAATATTTAAAGAGATGAATGTCTTGGAAGTTTACATAATCTTATATGCATTTTTAGGAGGAAAACATTTCATGCTGTGTTAGAGTTCATTTTCAGAATTCTTCCTCAGGAGTAGGTATTTGTTCACGAAAATGAGGAGACTACTGAAATTGGGTACATGCCTCAGATATTTCAAAGGATGTTCTCTAGTCTTTCTTTAAAAGTTCAAACACTACCAGGCATAATATGTAAAATACTAGATTTGGAGTCAGGAAGACATGGCGTGAATCCCACCTCAGACACTTACTCATTATATGACTCTTAAGAAAGTCACTTAACCAATTTCAGACTCTATTTTCTCACTAAAATCATTGTACCTTCCTCAAAGAGCTGAGAGGATCAAATTAAATAATGTAAGTAAAGTGCTTTTCAAACCTAAAGCACTATCTAAATGCTAGTTATTAGTAGTGCATATGCACATATGAAAATTTAATAAAAAACAAAACATCCAAAATCATTAAATATTCCCTCAATATATTTGAGTGTAAGTTCTGGGCTCACTCTTCTAACCCCATTTGAAATGGCAGTTCTGGTCTCTAGATTATGGCCAACTATATCTTCTGTCAGTGTTCCAGGGGTAACCTTGAGGAGTTACTATCACTCTAGAGCTCTTATCCTGTATATTTCTGCCCATTTTCCATATCTTTCCAACATCACCTAACCAATTTACATCAACTAGCTTTTGTGAAAGTATTTTTGTGAAAGTGGATTGTGCACTAGGTCTGGAGTCAGGAAGACCTAAGTTCCAATCCTGCCTGAGATACTTACTATCTGTGTGACCCTGGACAAGTCACTTAATCTCTGTTTGCCTTAATCTGTTAGAGAAGGAAATGGCAAACCACTCCACTATCTTTGCCAAGAAAACCCCACAGGAAATCACAAAGAGTCAGACATGCCTAAACGACTCAAAAGTAACATTTACTGAGAAATTATGGCAAGAAATAAAATATAAAAACCTCTTAAAGTAGAAGTACATTTTTCTAGCACTTTGGACCCTGGGAAGAGTGGGCTGTGACTCAAAATGGCTTCTACCAAATCATTTCCCCTCAATACCATCTAATTTACTTCTCAGTATGACAGTTGATAGAGCAGTCACTCCCTTGTTTGCAGTACACAATGTCTCAGCTGCCATGCTAATCAACCTCTAGGCGGGGTCAAATAAATGATTCCTTAGGACTGGTTTTTTTTGCAGGCGTGGTTAAGTGGTTCCTGGCAGCCTCTTCTTAAGGCTCCAGTTGCTGGACCTCTGATAGTTCTTCCAACCTTTGGAAGGTCACCTTATCTGATCTGCTTCCATGTAGTCATTAACCTAAGATCTTGAAAGAATAAAACACAACAGAGAGAGAGAGAAGAAACAAAGGAACCATGCATGGGCCACAAGGTAAGGAGGTAGATTGATAAGGCAGTTAAAGGCAGGTGGACAGTCATTTCCATTTCTGTCTCTGTTACTTCTTTCCTAACTCGGAGTCTTATATCAATTCCTACTTAGACTGTCACTACAGAGAAGAGTTCCTTCATTCTACCTTTTTGTATATGTATTCAGTTCCTGGGTAGGCTTTTTATTACCTTGCAACAAGCAGCCAGGTAACAGTCAGAGAATACCTGAGAATATTCTGAAGAGAGGAAGAAAATTACCTCCAGAAGTAGGCTCAGCAAGCTTCAATGTGGACTGGCAGCAAGCAGATATCTGTGTGTTTGCATGCTTACATCTATGCTTTGTTTGTGACTTGTGAATCATATTACCATAAAACTTCATTAAGCATGTTTTTTCATGGTCAGTTTCTTTATTCCTTCAGTTTGTGTTTTGTTCTTCTTTCAATTTTTAAATTAATTTTTAGTTTTCAACATTCACTTTTATAAGATTTTGAGTTCTAAAAATTTCCCCCTCTTTTCCCTTGACCCTCCCCCAAATGGCATGCAATCTGACATAGGCTATACATGTACAATCACATTAAACATATTTCCACATTAGTCATGGAAAGAAGAATCAGAACAAAAGGGAAAAACCGCAAGAAAGAAAAAAAAGAGAAAATAGCATAAGCATGCACAAGAAAGAAAAAATAGAGAGAAAATAGCATAAGCATGTATTTTTTTGTTGTAGAACACCCAGTAAAACATTGGTGCACAAAAAAATACTAAAAACTACAAAATTTCACCAAGATGACATGATTTTCCCTTTCTACTGCAGATTGACACAGCAATTTATCTACACAAGAGAAATAAACCATAGGAACATATAGGACAGACATCTATCTATACTTTGAATGGATATTCAAATAACAGAAAAACATTCTAAGTGCTTACAATGAACAATATTGGGCAAAATGATAAAGAAATTAAAGCCAAAGAAATTTCAAAGTTGATAAGAAGGAAATGTTGTAAGCTTCTCTATATTGTTATAGACTTGTTTGAGTCTTCAAAGGAACTATGGTTTCCTCAACATCCCTGATGTTACCTTCGGTATAGGAGGCATCTTTGTTTCACACTAATTGCAGCCTTATTTGGTAGAGTTTTAGGGAGTTGTCTAAAACACAGAATGGCTAAGGAATTTGGCCAGGATTACATGGCTAATTAGTGTGAGAGGTGGAATTTGAACTCAAGTCTTCCTGACTTTATGTCAGCCCATTATCTACTATGCCAGTCTGCCTAAATTATAGGCTTATCTCTCTAAAAATATTAGGCTGGGCATTTACAGATCAAAGTTTAATTCCTGACTCATGGTAAAATAATAATATGTAATAATATATTCTTTAAAAAATAATATTATGATATAATAATAAACGCCATCTGTAGTAATAATAACCACCATTTATATAGTACTTCAATGTTTGCAAAGTGCTTTATATCTATTATCTCACTTGATCCTCACAACAATGGGAGGTATGTACTATCATTACCCTCATTTTACAGATGAGAAAACTGAGACTGGCAGAGGTTAAGTGTCTTGCCCCAGGGTCATAGAACTTGCAAGTGTTTGAGGCAAGGATCAAACTCAGATCTTCCAGCACTCTATACACTGTGCCACCTAGGTGCCAATAATTGTAAGAATGTTATTAGGATCAAATAAGATTGCAAGAAAATATTTGGAAGGGCTATATACTTTATTGGTGGTATTATTACTGTATGACACCAATAGCACCATCTTTTATCTAGCCCAAAGAAATTAAATTGGCTACTAAGAAGAGAATAGGACATTTCGAGCTAGAAGAGACCTCAGAGGCCAACCCCAATTACCGATGGGAAAAGTGGGGGTCAAGTGACTTGGCTAAGGTCACACCAGAAATAAATGTCATAGATAGGATCCGAACCCAGGGCTTCTTACCCTAGAACCTGTGTTTCTTCCAGTATAAGGCAGCACTTTTACTGATTTCTCTATCTCTGTGACCAAAAAGAAAAACAAAACATTCTATTTTATTTTTAAGAATGAACCTTGAAAAATATGAGAAAATAAAAGCAAAAAGCTCATGTCTGCATGCACTGAAGTCTGCCAAATCTTGCCATACAAATCAAATCTGTTGTTACACTCACCTGAATCTCCTACTCCCACTGGCCAGTGTCAGGAGTCACATTAAATTGTAAAGAGAAAGAAAAGAAGCAGAGGCCAGTAGGGATGACTGGGAGCGAGAAGACTAGCTCACAAGGGATCCAAACGTGCAAGAAATGGTAAGCAAAAGCCCACGTGCTTATCAGATACCACAGAGTACTTGGTTCCTGGTAGAAGGAATGAACAGGGTCATTTTGCTCCTTCCTACTCCCACCGATCAAGCCTTCTATCTCCAAAGAACAGGAAACTATTTCTTGACTCTGGGATTTCTGCTGCCTTTGCCTTCATCATGCCAGGAATATGAATAGATATGAGAGAAAATGCCTCATCTTTATAAGGAGATCTTGTCATATTATACATATGCTTGGCTTACATTCTTTGTAGTATGAAGTCTTACTCAGTAAAGGAAAAGCTCACTAATTTAGACTAATTAGGAAAAGGTCAGAGGTAGCAAAAAGCCTGAATCACAGAATTATTTTTAAGGAAATGTAGATAGAGTGATTATTGTTTAGTAATTTAAACTAAACGCTAACAAAATGTTAGCTCATAAGAGTCTGTGGGAAACTTGCATGATGAATAATTGGTAATCGAGAGACTAAGGAATAGAATGCTAACCTTGGAGACAGGAAGACCTGACTTCCAAGCCCACTCTTCATGCATAGTTAACCTTAGACCTTGGCAAAATCGTTTAACTTATCAGGCAACTCTTTATGATTATAAATTACATGCGATTTTTTTGTAATATCAATATATGACACCAATCATGTCATTTGGCCAAAATAAGCTAAATACAGTAGTGACCACAGAGTTGTAGAATCACTGATTTTCAGCATCTTGTCGAACTCCCTCATTTTACAGAGGAGGAAACCGAGGGCCAGTGAGATTAAGTCATTTGTCCAAGGAAACCCAGATGTTAAGTGTCATAGACAAGATTAGAAGCTCCTTGGGAACAGGCACTGTTTCATTTTTTTAAAAAAGTTTGATGTGTTTTGTTTTTACATTACAAACACTTGCTGGTTTTATTTTGTGCTTTTATATCCCCAGTACCAACCACAGTTCCTGGCACATTGTAAACAATTAATAAATGTTTATTGATTGATCTGCATAGTTTCCTACACTAAAGGAATAAAACTCTAGACCTCCCCCCTCCGAAAAATTAGTAATTAGTAATATTATTTATATTCTGAAAGAATTTCTTCTTCTGGACTACTTGAAGATGCCTGAAACTAATTTGCTAAAAATCTGTCTTGCAATCATCTCTCTTGCATGGTTATTTTGCACTAGGTTATGAAGAAAGGATTTGCCTAGCACAAATATTTAGTATGGTTTATATGTTTATGAGTGTCATATATTGCAAAGGATAATATCCTACATAACTCTTACATTCCAGTTTCGTTCTACTGAATTATCATCACCCCTTTCTGCAGCTCCCAAGATTTCTCTGAAAACTTTCCTGTTCAATGCAACAAGAAAGTATCATAATAATCTGAGATCATATACTAAAGAGAACCATCACTCAACTTTCTTGTTTGTAAAATAAGAAGCTCTCTTTCAGTTCTAACTTTCTGAGCTGCCCCTCACATACTGCTTTACAAATTATAGAATCCACTGGAAGGTGTGGCAGGACTACTCCAGTGAAAAATAACTTCGTCCCTCTAGAGCAGTGCAAAATCTATGTAACAATTCATTTTAGTAAACATTAAGGGCCTATGACGAGCAAGAGAACTGTGCCAGCGCCACCTTCATCATTCTATGAGGAGAAGCACCAACTTTCAGACGAATTAAAAAAGTGTGACTGATGTCCAGACCCTGGAATAATAGCTCTAGAGTTAGAAGGCATTTAGCCCAACTCCCTCATCTTACAGATGAGGAAACTGAGTCTAAGGGGATTAGTGACTTGTCCAGGATCACACAGGTAGAAAGCACCAAATCCAGGTCCTTTCATTCTAGAGCTGGAGTTCATATCCTTGCTCCATGAATTTATTTTGTTACTATTTTGATAACTGGATTTCAATATAATTAATTTCTTATTAACACTATGTATTTTATTTTATGCATTTAAAAACATTATTCCAAGAAGTAGTCCATAGGATTAACCTGTCAACAAAGTCCATCATACAGAAAAGGTTAAGAACTCCAGCCCCAAATTCAATGTTTGTTCCACTGCACATTTCCACCAGCATTTTTTGCCCTCAGAAACAGCAGTTCTGGAGTAAAGAAAAAAAAACACACTCGAAAAGAAAATGGATCATTTCAACCTGAAAAATTCCACCCCAGTAGAAGTCTTTAAGTGAATAGGAGTTTCTGTGAGTTCCATTAGGGGAGTAAGGGGCAGGAAGATAATTAACTCATCCATTAACATTGCAGGTTGGACTCCCAACTACCCTTCTTCAGTATGCATTACATTTCATAAAATGAAATTATTACTCACAGCTGTTCTTAATTTTACAGAGCGTCTACTTTAACTTTATTATGTAACTTGGGTGTTAAATATGTCTCATAATAAACTGAAGCGATTTCCTTTTACAAGAGTAGGAGTTTATAGAAAGAGGGATTAGAAACATGGCATTATGACAGCATGTATCATTTTATATCAACATATGAACAGAGTAGGATAGAGTAGAGCATCTGTATCTGGAAGAAACCTAAAGACTCTTAAAAATAAATAAGTGGAAATTATCATTCATTTTACATGGGAATGTTCTCGTAATGAATCCTTGTGTAAAAAACTATGCAAACATAATATATACAATTTTAAAGAGATTTTTTACATCAGTCTTTCATCTCCTTTACTAGTTTGTCCTTTTTCAAAGTGTAATGCTGCCTTTATAACACCTAGCAAGTACCTTTTAATTTTTCTTCAAAATATTTTATTGACTAGATAACAAATTGGTCATGAAGAAACTGATTAATACACTACTCAAAAAAGAAATAAATTCCTCTCCTCCAAAAAACTACACTAACTCCTTAAAGCACTTAGGTTCTATTGTAAAAAAAAAAGTGGATTTTTTTAAAACATTACTACAGAAGAGTTTGCTTAAATGACTATTTTTTAAATACATAAAGCCTTACATTTAGCCACTTGATAAAAGTTTCACAGGTCAAATAATTCCTATTTATCACAAGAGTTATTATTTATGCATTGAATATGTATAAGACAATGCTTTTACTAGAAAATTCACTAGCCAATAAACATGTGTTGGTCTTTTGACATCATGGTTTATCCATTGAATAAAAGGTGTTTTATTTCCCTTATATTTATTTTTTAAAACTGACACTTGTTGCTATTCCTGCCTGACATGTACTTTGAGGCCACTGTAAACAAGTTTCAAATTTTTAACTCCCACATTCATTTTTCCTTTTATTTCTTTTTCAGATCTTTGCTCATAACAGTATAACAAATGCTAGCTGAAAACTCTCTATGTAGCAAGCAACTAGCCCTTTAAATACATCTTCTGGAGAGCAGTGGTTCTGGAATAGAATGCAATGTTATTTCTAAGAAGAAAAAAGCAAGAAAATGGGTCCCACAATAACAATGCAAGAAGAGAAAAAAAAATCTGAGATCAATTCAACCCCCAAGCATAATCAGTGACAAAAGAAGCTAACAAATCAAGGTAAAGCACATCAAACCATTTAAACATTTAAATTGAACAAGCTACAAACTTGTTAGTCTTTGTATAAAAAATGGACATTGCAGCTTTCTAAGAAAGAAAACAACTAAAAATGCCTGATTTATGAATACTTATTCCTAAGAAGAAAGGACATATATTTTAGAAGAAATGAAATTTCAATATAGGATGAGGTCAAGAAAAACAGTCTATGTAAGATTCAGAAACTGCCAATTGAACAGTTCAAAAGCTGTTAAGACTTGAACTCCAACTCTTTTATTCTTTGCTTTACGTGAAATAGAATATCTGTATGTCTGTCTTCTGTTTTCATGCAAAAACAAAAAAAAAGAGGGAGTGTGGGGGAACAAGGCAGCATACATGTCTGTTAATCAATTTAGCTCTGTACAATTTATAACATTTAGAAGACTTTTAAAAAAAATAGAAACATAATACAAGAAATTTGACTGTCATGTGTTATAAACAATTTATAGCTGCTTCCTTAGGTATGTATAGTGTAATTGCTGTGGAAATTTTTTTTTAATTGCTGTTACATATCAGGAGGAAAGACAATGTTCATTCATTAGTCTTTTTTGAGGGGGAGGGAAGAAAGGACAACAAAACTTGGAAATCAGCAAGATTCTGAATATTGCTAGTATAATAATAAAATTTGGGAGGTTAATGTCATTTAATTATCGGTATTTTTAAAAAAATCCACACATATGTATATACATACACACACACACACATATGTGTGTGTTACAAATACCATTCTGTAGAAGATAACAAGGTGGTGGTGGTAGTGGGTTTTTTCTGGAGTTGTAATGTTACTTTGTATCAATCTGTATTTCTAGCCTTTAATTTTTTTGCCATACTCATCTTTGTTACTAAAATAAAGGTCTTATTTGTTAAATAGCAGGAAAGCCTCCTCAATCTCTGCTAGAATATACTACATAGTATATAGCACATTTGAATAATGCCAGTCTCTGTAGGGCTTGATATTGGGCTATGAATATTTGACCTAGAATGCCATTAGCTTAACTTATACATTTTAAAATCACGTATTGAAATGCTGCAAAACTAAGATTGTAGTGAATTTAATTTCAAAGCCACACTGGCGGTCCTTTTATACTGTATGTGGTAATCCTTGATTTCTTGCACTGATGCTAAATGTTAATGAACAGAGCCACAGTATACCATTTCACCTGGAGCAATGAAAACATTAAAATCTCTTCAGAAGCCTGAATAAAACTTTATTTTATAAATATAATCCACAGTGAAGCTCTACCATTTCACTGTACTTTTTTGAAATAAGGGCACATGGAAAATATGGAAGAGTTTCCTTTGAGATCGCTAACTAAAGCTACAAAATGAGCCCGGTACGGCATTTCCAAGGAACGCGGTTCAAAAGTTGTACGATTACTACTAAGGTTGTTTTATTCTCTCCCACATTTGGAACAGGAAGTCTGTGTTGTTCTTGAAGAATTCTGAAAAGCAATGTCACAGTCTGATGACCTCTTCTCCTCATTAAAACGTTCCCAAAGACAGCTCTCTGCATGATGTTTTGTAGCTTCAGCAGCCATGAACTAATTTGTACCTCTTATTTTGATCATGCACTGGTGAAAGCACCAAACAATATTTTTCTTTAAACACAGAGAGGGCTTTCAACAGCTCAGCATGCACTTCTACCCTCTTTTTAATCTTGGAGCACCTATTTATTTGCTCTTTTCACCACTAAATCTTCTTTGCTCCTTTCTGCCCCCTGCAAAGCGGCTAGTTAAAAATCTTCAGTGTTTTTTCTTCATAGGCTTAAACCATTAAAAGGGTATTACCATAAAAAGGGAGACAAGGGTTTACAGACAGAGTACAGGGAGAATTTGCATTTCTAATTTTTAATCCAATTAAACTGAAATAATATTTATTTAGCTACAACCTTTATATAATTTCTATGACCTCACCAAAGTTAATGGGGGGAAAAATTCCTGCTTGGGGAAATTACTTAGAGGTATTCCCTGAAAAGATTGATTGGGTCTGCTTATTGGATATTTGAAGGTTTGGTTTTTTTTTTACTTTATATCTGATAAGAATGCATGAGGCTCATTTGCTTACTTTGCATAACCTTCATTTTTTCCCCTACTCCAATTATGCACATCATTTAAAAAATATAAATTTGAATCCTTTGAATCACAAAGACAGTGTTGAGATTTTCACAGGTATTGCATGAGGGCTGGGGCTTTCTGCTATACATTTTATGAACCTGGAAAAGGAATTACAATAGAATGACATTTTAAAATTTCAATGACTTTTTCCAGGCTGTGATGTCACCTTTATTAACAAATGCTCAAGTTCAAAAATGTTAATAATTCCAAAGTATTCCATATTAAAACATCTAGATCCTAATCCATAGAATTAACTGGTTTATATCATACTAGCAACAAAATAAAAATAAAATTTCAGTGTGCTTCACAATTTAAAAGCTTTACCTCTAAACATAGGTTGTTTTTTTTAAATAAATATCAAGGTTTCTCTAAATAGGCAGTGTAAAGATTCTTATACAGAAGAATTAAATTTTAATGTTTTCCTTTCTACAGTTATGCTTTAAAAACCAAATGATGAATAAGAAAATAAAAACATTGTTTTGGTATATTTCTCTTAAATATGTCACAAATAAAATGGAAACGTTTTACCATAAACAAATCTACTTGAGATTGTGAATACATTTAAAAGTCATTAATAATTTATTAACTCACTAATAAAAATATTTCCCCAAGCATGAATGTACAGTAGAAGATTTCAAATGTTCTCATATCTCTGAATAATACCATTTATCCAACTTTTTCATTATATTTATCAAGAATTTATTTTAAGGCAATTAAAACACCCATTTCATTGCTTTCCATAAGATAATTATTTGTTATTTAGCAACAAATAAAAATACATGTAATCAAATAAAATTATCCAAAAAAATAGATAAACTCTATTAAAAGTTCAAGAGTCTAGTTCAATATCTTTTCCAATTCAAACTTGCCTCCCAAAGTTTCTTACCCATTCTTCTGCATGAATTGATAGCCAACGAATTCAAGTGATCAGGAGTAGGGAAAGGATGACAATTTAACTAATCTTATGGTGCCATAAAACGTTCGAGCTAGAAAAGACATTAAAAGCCATGCAGTAAAAGTACTTCATATTTCTAATGAGGCCACTGGGACCCAAGGAGAGGAAAAGACTAATCCAGGATAACTGGGTAATTGCACAGCTAGGATTAAAAAACAGGTATATCTGGTTGCTGTTGTTGTAAGTCAAGTTCAGTGTTCTTTCATTAATAAGTGGTCACTGAATTGAACTGATTTGAATAGAATTGAATTTTCTCTACCCCATTATGCCTTTCCCAGGAAACTCCCAAGTCTTACTGGAGTTTTCCTCCCATAAGTTTCATTTCACACTTTAACTTTTGATTACATTTTTCTGCCTCCATTTAATATCTTAAACATCACTAAATAACTACAATCATACAGAGACATTTTTATCTTGTAGATACTAGCAGTTGTATATCCTTTCCCCGTCATGTTTTCCCCAAACTAAAAAGTTTCAGTTATTTTAAAAATGAGCTTTTAAAAATCAACTGATTGTCATCCTGAAACCAAACTCTTGAGTTGTCTCATGTGCTCAGTGTTACACTGGACCAGAACTCTTCAAGTTTCCCAAATTTTTTCAGTCTTTAAGATTCAGAAAAACTTACATGTACATGTGCACACACACCTTCTAAAGAAGTATGAGAGGTCTGCCGCAAGTTTTTGAGTCATGAAGATGGTAAACAACAGAAAGGACTGGGTGAGGTGTTATGGGACACAGGCCTATTTCCAGGTCTTCACATAATTCCTGGAACTACTTCACTGAGGCTCTTCTCTCAAATGATGATAAAACTTCTAAACTACTGAGATGTTGTGAGGACTAAATGAACACCCATGAAAGCGCTTTGCAAATCATGAAGGGCTCCATAGATGTAATAATAATAATGATGATAATAACTGAAACATACAACGTTTTATGTTTTGCAAAGTGCTTTAAGGGTTGTATCATTTAATTCAATTCAGCAAAAATACACTCATTATCGGGGGTGTGCTGGAGACGGCTCAAACCGAGCCAATTGTTAAATTTTCAGTATGAGGGTTTATAACTTGGAAACTGGCAAACACTACAAATAAGTGCTTAATTTCTTGTCTTGACTGTCTACATAGAAAAAATGTTAATAATGCAAATTAAACTTAAAATTGTGTTTTTCCCCCAGATAGCCAGTTGTTAAATATTTACTAGCACACCCTTTGATAACATCGTAAGATTTTAAATTTGGAGCTGAAATCAAACTTAAAGATTATCTGATTCAACTCGATCCTTTTACAGGAGAGGAAACTGAGGCCCAGTGTTATGGTCATATAGCCACTTAAACGAAGTATTCAAGGAGGGGGCCTAGAACGTGTGGCTGGAGGGAAGAGAGGCTATATTTACCATTTCTCATTCTCTAAATAATAAATTTCTATAAATAGCTAAATAAATTTCTCATTTTTTAACCTGTATGGGACTAAATCAAATCAGTTAATACTGTATGCTCTCCAAAAGGAAAAGCAAATAGACAAAGACCTGATGTAGTATAAAATGATGCTTGGCTATTCACACCCTCAAAAAAGGCTACCTGAGTGTGTCAGTCAAGTAAATACTTTTAGGATCGTCTGGGCAGAATTTTACATAAAGGTTGAAGCTCTTGTTTAAACTCCCCCCTCCTTGAAAAAAAGCTAAGGCTCATATGGGTTTATAGTCTCCCATTCTGCATTTTCTCCACTAGATGTCCCCAGTGTGTCACACACCAAGCTCTGATCTCCCAGCTAGACAGACCCTTGTTAATGTGAATCCATATGGACTGTTACTGTTTGAAGTGAATCTTAAGATACCTTGTGTAAAAGAACTTTCATTCTTGACTTCATTTCATCCCTAAATTAACAAGCTACTAATCTACAAGAGAAATGCAACCACTTCAAGACTTTGCCCATGACATGACCCTAGCGTGGCCAATTAAAGACCATGTATATCATCTTGTCTGAAACAAGTGTAAGAAATCAAAGATGGAAACACGTGGAAAAAAAAAATCCTTAGAGAAAAAGTTCCTACCCTTGAAAGAAGGGATCTTAACACAACTTTTAATTGTATTGCTTTCAAAGGACGAATAATAGTTACACAAAATAGTTCAGAAAACTCTGGTGACAGCAGGGGCCTTGTTTAATTCCAACTTTAATCAATTAAAGATAGAATTAGAGTCAGAGCTTGAATGATCCCCAGAAGTACCCCTCCTTCTTCACACAAAACCTCTGTAACAAAGAGTAAGAGGATGAGCTCTCATAATAATTGAACATAAGGATGTTGAGGGAAACTCAGCTTGTAAAGCACTGTCCTTTCTTCCCCACCACCCCTCCCAAATCCCAATGAATCCCACAGTACATGAAGCTTCTGCGCTTGCTCTAAGCTATCACCCTCTGAGTTGCTATGGCAGATAGGAACACTAGAGGGCTTAGAGCTGGCTGTTCTAAAGGAATTCAATAAGGATTTCCTACAAGGTGTCTCAAAATGGAACCACTCAGGCAGCATGTGTCTGGCTCTCGGGGCAAGAGGTAAAAAGTTCAGCCTGTGAAGTCGAACACTTTCTGGCCGAGAGAGTGCAAGGATGAATTATCCATTACTCTGGAGCTAACATTGAAACAATGGTAAAGACTGACAGTAGGACGCTGGCTCTATTCACTTCTTGGTGGGTTAGCCTTCCAATGTGACTTATCAATCATCTGGTCACACTATTTTCCAGACCTTTTCTTCAAATGTAAGAAAGCCTTTTTTTCCCTCTGTTTTCACATTCACAAAGCCAATTTGCTCCCTTCCTGACTCATGTGTAAGGCTTATAATTTATCCCATCTCCTCCTTGAAGCCTTCCTTAATTAAGTAGGATTTATCCACCAACAAATATTTATTGCCCTCCTGCTACACGCTTAACACTATCCTGGATGCTGTACAGGAACACAAAGGAAACACAAGACTTTGGGGCCATGGAAGATTTTAGTTGGGGAAATAAAACCATAATATATAATATATGAAAAATTAAGAGGACAAATGAATATGATCAAAATAAGTAGTTGGGGAATGGTTCATGGAGAAGCTGTATTTTTAAAAATGGATAGGAGACAGAGGGAAAGTGAGATAGAGAGGTGAGAATATTCTGGGGGAGGCAGGGAAGTGGGGATGAGCATAGATGTGAAAAAGACAGTCAGGAGGTGGACCTGACTGCAGCAGAAGAAGCCTTCAGGGAGAAGTGGGAAATACCACTGGAGAGGTTTATTGGGGCAAAAGGAGAGAAAATTCAGTCATAGGAGTTTCTACTTAATCCTGTAGGTAGTAACGGAGTTTTTGTAGATTGCTGAGTAGGGAAATGAGCCAATCCAGCTAGCTGGATAGTTTCATTGATAAAGTGTTTTAAGGCTTGGAAAGTATCTTACAATTATTCTCACTT